ATAGAATCAATGGGGTTCAGTGCTTCAGGGAGGGACAGATGCCAAGATGTCTACGCTTTGATCACCATATCAATTTCTTGTCACTTCTGATGAGAGAATGCTTTTTTATTTAATTAATTTTAATGAAAGTTTACAGAGACTTAGGGTTTCCGTTCATTCATTGTTGCACTTTTCTCCTACCTTTCCACCCCCCCAATTCACTCTTCTCTTTGAAAAGTAAAAGAAAAACTCATCCATTGTTATGCAATCCCTCCCCCCAAGTCCACTCCACTATGCAGCCTTCTCTCTGGACTCCTATCATGATAATAATACCCAATCATATATCCTTTGTAAACAGTTCTCTCCCTCATCTGTTTCAATGTGGTATACATCATTCCCCCCTCCTTCTCTGTCTTCCCTCAACCTTGATGTCAATCCCAGTTTACAACAGTGACTCTATTCAATATTTGTCCTTTTGTGACTGAGATATTTCACTCAGCATAATGTGCTCCAGGGTCATCCATTTGCATAATATTTCATGAGTTCCTTGTTTTTCAATGCAGCATAGTATTCCATTGTGTGAATATACCACAGCTTCTCTATCCATTCGTTTGTAGATGGGCACTTGGATTGTTTCCACCTCTTTGCTATTGCGAACAAAGCCACAATAAATATGGGTGTGCATGAGAGAATGTTTTTGAGATGCAGGTTTAACAAAAGAGAAAAGTTAAATTTTCCATTCTGACAGTACTTTTTTATTATTATTGTTATTCATTTTAATGAGAATTTACAGAGACTTTGGATTTCCATTCACTCATTGTTGCACTTTTCTCCCTGCCCACCCCTCCCCTCCCAGTACACTCTTCTCTTTGAAAAGTAAAAGAAAAATTCTTTCACTGTTTTATAATCCCTCCCCTCAGTTCCACTCCACTATGCAGCCTTCGTTCTGGACTCCTGTCATGACAATACCTAAGTGACAGTTCATTTTTAAGAGCCACTCCTACAGACTCAGATCACTGAACGTTCCATTGAGAGTTCAGCCGAGACTGTGCCAGTATAGGTGTATGGTAACATCCCTTCTGACTTATTACCAATCTATTCTTACTGAGGAAAGTTGAGTCGTACCAACTTTTATATTTTATATTTTGAATGTCATCCCTCCCAGATAGTGCGCTCTCAGAATATGACTAAATGTTGTACTAGTCTTGGCCAGCAGCCAGAAAATTAAAAGGCGCATTGCCATGGGAAAGTCTGCTGTTAGGGACCTCTCCAAAGTACTGAAGAGCAATGGTGTCTCTCTGGAGACTAAGGTGCGTCTGATACAGGCTATGGTCTTCCCAATCACTTGTTATGCATCAGAGATTTGGACAATGACCAAGGAGGATAGAAGGAGAATTGATGCCTTTGAGCTGTGGTGCTGGAGAAGAATATTGAGAATACCATGGACTGCTAGGAAAACAAACAGATTTGTCCTAGAAGGGGTTAAACTGGGTGGCTCCTTGGAGGCAAGGATTCTGAGGCTCTGTCTAATATACTTTGGACATGTTGTGAGGAGAGACTGGTCCTTGGAGAGGGACATCATGCTTGGGAGGGTGGAGGGACAGCGCGGGAAAGGAAGGCCCTCTATGAGGTGGATTGATTCAGTGACTGGGATAATTGGGATGGGAGTGTCAGAGACGGTGCGATTGGCACAGGACAGAGCGGAGTTTAGGGCTGTTGTACATAGGGTCGCTATGAGTCGCAAACGACTCGACGGCACATAACAACAACAACAACAACAACAACAAAAAGGGAAATGAGAAAGATTTTTATCAAGTTATCCAATAAGCAAGATGAGCGCAGATCTACTTATGCTTATCTACTAATCCATAGAGAGCAATTTCATGCATTTTTACTACATCAACGATTCTCCTTCTAGACCTGCTTCTCACCTGACTTCACACCTTCTTACAGAATAAAAAAAAACCTTTTCAAATTTATAGATCCCCTCAGACAGGGACTTAGTCCTTATTGGGTTAGTAATCTATCTAAAGACGAGACTTCTGGACACACCATGAATAACAGCTCAGAAGCCTGCCCTCTCCTGTGCCATCCTCATCCGCTCTGATGTACCTGCGCTCATTGCTAACAATTACTGGGTCCATCCATCCTGTTGAGAAGGCAAAAACATAGGAAGGTGAAAGAACAGGAAGTTCATGACCAAAGTCCTAATCTAGGGTGAAAACTTGATGATTTATTAAACTGTTTTGATGCACAGAGGGAGTGAGATCATCCAAAATCCAAAGGAAACTGGATGTGTTCAGGAAGGGTCGAAGAATATTCTAACTGGTACTCTGCTTCCTTATCACATCGCATGTGGCGCAGAGACAGAATGATGGGTTTAAGGCAGATAGGCCTAATATAGGGCTGTGGTTTCCCATGGGCTTATAATGGGTAAGAGTTCCCACATGAATCCTCCACCCCTACTCCTCCCATCCACAACTCAGGAGAATTAGGAAAGCTCACAGCAATGATTCACAGCAAAGGTTGTCATGGATACCCAAGATAGCGGGCAGGTAGAAGATGTGACTTCACAAGCTTGCAGCTCAGGCGTCGTCAGTAGCCTAGGAAGGAAGAGATAGCTAAAATATCCATGCACAACCAAAAACATTGAGCACAGCCTCACTGGCTACAGACTTCACTGATCAAACACCAAGAATTTGAGCTGAATCCCAATAGCATCTCATCAATAACTAGCAAAGACTTATAGGAACACATGAAGACCCAAAATCCAGAGGCGGAGAAAGAGCTCTGGTAGGGAGGAGTACTTTGAATAGACTGAGTTGAAACTTGAAAGAGGTTGTGTTTAGTTTTGGTGTTTTTTTTTTTGTTTTGCCTTTTTTTTTTTTAAATCTGAAAGAGATTATTGTAACCAAATGAGCCAGAACTCCTTATTTGTTTTTTTTTCTTCTTCTTGGTTTTATTAATTTAATGTAAGTTTACAGAGATTTTGGATTTCTGTTCATTCATTGTACACTTTCCTCCCTGTCCACCCCCACCCCTAGTTCACTTTTCTCTTTGAAAAGTAAAAAAAAAAGAAAAAAATTCTTTCATTGTTATATAATATTTCCCCTCACCCCCATCTCCCTCTACACTATGCGCCTTTCATTCTGGATTCTTCTCATGACAATACTACCTAAACATATATTCCTCCTAAACAGTTCTTTCCCTCATCTGTTTCAATGCAGTATACATTATATATTTCCTCTTAGTTTCTCCCTAACTCCCATGCCAGACCCTTTTTACAACAGTGGCACTATGCAGTATTTGTCCTTTCTTTTTTTTTTATTTTCCGTTCATTCATTGTTGCATTTTTCTCTCCTCCCAACCCTCCCTACAAGTACACTACCCTCTTAGAAAAGTAAAAGACAAATTCTTTCATTGTTTTACAAACCCTCCTCCAGGTCCACTCCACCATGTAGCCTTCACTCTAGACTCCTCTCATGACAAAAATACCTAATCACATATCCCTTTTAAACAGTTTTTTCCCTCATCTGTTTCAATGCAGTATATGTTATGAACCCATCTTTCTCAGTCTCTCTCCAACCCCAGGGTCAGTCCTGTTTTACAACAGTGGCACCATGCAGTATTTGTCCAGAACTCCTTATTTGTAACAACACATGTTAGCTTAATCCAGACTATGCAGAAAAGCAAGATAAAAAGTGTAAGCTCTTCCAGAAAACAAAGAAAATTATGTGTTCTACATCTCAATGTATATTTACAGTGCTACTATTAGTGCGGAGGACACTATTTCTTCGAGGATTTCCTTTATGTGTAAGGAGTGCAAGGCCTTTAATTCTGGATCTCTTTCTCTCTCTGTCCCTTCTCCCTCTTCCCCCATAGAGCTGCAGATTTCACATCTGACTGATATGTTTGAGAAGAGTGGTTATTTTTAGCTGAGCAGTAGCTATGTGGTAGAAACAGTTTGTGTTTGGCTGATAATTTAAGGGTGGTTGATTTGAATCCATCCAGAAGTGCCTTAGGCAGTTGAAAGAACAAACATATGCTCTGGAGAGGGTGCAGCCAGAGTGCTCCCTGGACACAAAGATGATACAGCTTCGTCTCATATACATGTTGCTAGGAGTGATTATTCTTGGGACAGGGGCAACATGCTTGGAAAGGTGGAGGGACGGTGAAGGAGAGGAAGACCCTCAATCAGGTGGATTGACACAGTGACTTATAGCAATGGGCTTGAGCATGTCAGAGGTTGTGAGGATGGCAAAGAATAGAACAGGTAGGACAGATACCATAGATGTGTTGTTTATAGGGTCGCTATGAATCTTACTCGGCTCGAGGGCACCTAATAACACAACAGCTGTGCTTTGGAAGAAAGGCATGGCAATCTACTTCATAAACCTATAGCCATTGACGGTCCTTCGGAGCAGAGCCACTGTAACACACGGGGCCACTGCTACGAGTCAGAGTTGATTGAAGGGGATGGGGATGGGCTAAGCAAGTCCCCCCTTGCCCTTGGGTAGGAGCCTAACAGCAGATTGATTCTTCTGTTCTCCATTCTTCATCATCCAGGATTTGGGCCTTCCTTGGGCAAGATTTATTCCCCCCAGGTTTTAAAAAATTTATTTGCATATTTTTAAAAAGTGTGCAATTTAATAATTAAAATAATTTGAAAAAAAACCCAAAAAAACATTGACACCTCGATTCAACTGCATTTTATGCCCACAGGACACGTGGGACAACCTTTGCTTTTTACCCTATATTTCATTCACTGTCGTCCCACCCAGCTCCTCCCTTCACCGGCGTGCAAGGTCTTTTCCTTCCCAGCCAACCACACAGGCTGATGGGAGTGGTGGGGGCTGCCTTCAGTCAGCAGTGGCTCTAGATTCTCGGCTGTGAAAAGAGGCAGCACAGTCATTTAAACTTGATCCAATCTTTTTGGATCTTACAAAGTTAAGCAGTTAACGAAAGAAAACATGAGGACACTTCTGGTGGGATATACACTGAATATTGGGAGGGCATCCTCATTATGATTCGCCTGCTTGCTTCTCCTCTTGGATCATTTCTTTTGAAGGCAGTGGATTTTCCTCTTGTGTTTCTGTCTTCTTCAGTTTCGGCTTATCATATTTCTCAATTTCAGCCACATCGAGTTTGTCAGACAGCCTGAAGCGAGGAGAGGCGTGAGAGAATGTGGAGTCTCCTTCACTCTTATGTCACACTAAGTATTTCAACTTCTTTCAGAATTAAGAAAAGTGGTGCTTGAGTCTCCCACTCCCCAACTGAGCATCCGCACCGCACCCATAAAACACAATCTACCATTTAACCATTCTGAAATGCACATCTGCGGTCTGTAGCATATTTGAAACATTGTGCAGCCCTTGCCACTGTCCAATTCCAGAATATTTTCGTTATCTTTTACCATTTTTCAGTCACCTCCTGTGGCCACTTGGCTCCAGCCTCTGCAACCACCAACTGATAGCCACTTCTAAAACACTGAGCCAATGAAAAGCTGATGAATTGCAGCAGCACTGTATCTGGCACAGGACAGGAAGATGAGCCCTTCAGGTTGGAAGTCATTCAAAATCTAGACAAGATAGTTGCAACAGTGGGCTCCCACACACTAGCTGTTGTGAAGATGGCACAGGATTGGGCAAATGTGTCTTTCTGTTATGCCTGTTATCATGATGAGTGGGAGGTGACTCGATTGCACTTAACAACATCAACAACAGGTTTCAGTGAAGCACAGCCAGGCAGTATTTCATTCTGTTGTACATTGAGTGGCCGTATGTCAGGGGACAAGAGGACAGCAACCAACTACAACAATAATAGGCTGCCTTGAGCTTTGTTGTTGCTGTGTGTCGTGGAGTCAAATACAACTCAGAATGACCGTATGGACAATCAACCTGAACTCTGTCCTCGCCTGCCCCATCTTCATCACTGCTGATACTTGACTTCATTGCCGCAGTCACTGTGCCAATCCGTCTGGTTGAGGGTCTTCTTCTTTCACTGACCCTCCACCTTTCCAAGCAGGATGTTCCTTTCCAAGGACTAGCCTCTTCTAACAACGTGCTCAAAGTACATGAGACGAAGCTTCATTATCCTTGCCTCCAAGGAGCACTCTGGCTGAGCCTTCCCCAAGACGTATCTATCTGTTCTTTTGACAGTCCCTGGAATATTCAGTGTTCTTCTCCAACAGCCAGAGCTTACTTAGAAGCTTAAAACAATATCCAGACCAGCTTTGCTTTTTCTTATTTTGTGTACTGGACTTCTAAAGTGAAAGACTTTTCTTTAAGATAAAATACGTCCGGAAGCTATAACAGAGTTCTGATGGTATGGGTGTTAAGCAGTGGTGGTTGGTGGTGGTGGTGTGTACCATCGAGTTGGAACATATGCCTAGCTGACTTTCCGGTTTTCAGAGAAGCAGTTAATCTTCCTGGGAGGAGTTGGTCCATCCTTCTCCAGCGGTGGCCTCAAATGGCGTGCCTTTGGGATTGCAGCGCAGCTTTTTGCCGCTAGGCCACCAGTGGTTCAAATCCACCCGTTACTGTTCAGGAGGAAGATGACTAGTCTCCTCCGGTACAGATTCATAGTCTCAGAAACCCAATGGAGGGTCTCCATGAGCTGGAATCATGGAAGTGGTGGTGGGAACTTTCCCGTGGGTTGTTTAGGAAGAGAAGCAGGGTCTTAACTTCCTAACAACCCTAGAAGTTGAGGAGTAAGACTGTGATTGTGGGACCCCTATGAAGTTCTCTGTTCTCTAAATATACTTCCAGAAAGACTTAGGAACTAAACAATGCTGCCCTTTAAATGTCAGAGGAGAAAGGCGCAAGAGTTTGGCTGTGAGCACATCACGTGGATGGGCTTATCAGTCAGCCCCGAGGGCAGAGAGCAGGGTCCTGTGGGAGTGTATCCAAGGCAGGTAAGTCTTTGCAGCTGGGAGTATGGAGGACTGGGGCAAAGGCTGTGGTGTGGAGCAGATCTCTCTCCTTCTAAAGGAAGGACAGGGTGCCAGGGAGTGCGGAGAGTGGGCCAAGAAAAGACCCAGAACCGGCTCTGCCCCGTCTCCCTGGAGTCCCTGGAGCCTCTTATTACACGCCATCCCGTGAGAAAGCTAACATCCTCTTTGCTTTTCTGTGTCCACAACTTCAAGGACCAGGGATACAATAAATCAGGAAATAAACGCACAGTGGCTGGCACTTGATCCAACTTCAACTCGTTTGTCAACATTTCACAGCCTCTTTGGAGAGGCCTGTGGAAAGATGAGCTGAGAGGTATAATCCTTTCACCCAGGGAGGCCAGGTGGAGTTTTTTGCCCTCCTGGTGTACTGGTCACTTATGAAACAGCAGTTACAACCCGCCAATCACGTTTTCGATTTGGAAGATCCAGCTGTCCAACAGCCACAACAGCCCAAACTGGGCCCTATCTGAGAGTATCGGTTAAAAGTGAGCTGGAAAGCTGGCTCTGTGCTTTACTGAGGGTCCCTGAACAAGTCAACTGGCTTCTGATGTCTTTTCTTAAACCAGGGATAAAAGTGCTTTCCCTGGCAAGATTGTTATAGTGTCATTCATTGCTAATGCTTTGCCCAATAATAGACAAACTTGGTAAACCAAAAACTGAATCAGTTACTGTTGAACTGATTCCAATTCATCATGGCCCATATGTTTTGTTTGAGAGTAGAATTAGATTTCAATCAATGGCTGTGATCTTGTGGAAGTAGATTGCTAAGATTTTTCTGTTGTTTTTTGGGGGTCTTGTTTTGTTTATTGCTAGGTTTTTTGCTAAGCTATCTCTGGATAGACTTAAACCTTTTGGTTCATAGCTGAGTTTAGTCCAGCAAATCCATGGTGGACATAGTACTCAGTAAACCCAATTCATTGCTATTGATTTAGAACTGACTCATAGCCGACCCTACTGTGGATTTTCAAAGGCTGTCTATTTGCCCATCTTTTTTCTGCAGAGCAGCTGGTGAATTTGAACCACCTGCCTTTGGGTTGGCAGCAAAATTCACAAACAGATATGCCTTGGAGAAAGTGCAGCCAGAGTGCTCTTTGAAGGTAAAGGTGGTAAAGCTTTGTCTCTCATGCTTAGGGCATGTTGCTAGAAGAGGCTCGTCCCTGGAAAGGGACATATCCTGCTTGGAAAGGTGAAGGGTCAGAGAATGAGAGGAAGATCTCTAATGAGATGGATTGACACAGTAACTACAGCAGTGGGGTTGGGTGTGGAAGAGACGATGAAGATGGCATAGGATAGGACAGGGTTCAGATCTGTTTAGTATGTCTCTAGGAGTCATAGTTGACTTGATGGTACTTAACAACAACATGGCCTTGAGAAGCCCTGGTGACACTAGTCTAGTCTGAGTTAACGAACTCAGTCCCATAAGGACAAGTATTATATAAGACTATTATTGTAAAACTAGAAAGATAACTAGTAAAACATGTAAGGATACAAGGAGGGGAGGTGCAGAGGGGTGAGGATGGGAAGGAGGGTAAATGTAGGGTCGCACAATTTGTTGGGTAGAAGGAAGGGTGGATAAAGGAAATGGGAAAGATCTGGTGTGAAAAACAATGTCTACGAACTTTGTAAGTAAACAAGTATAAAATGAAAATGTTATTTTTTAAAAAAAGAAAATACTAAAAATTTTAAATAAAAAGATTTATAGTTTTGGAACCCTTGTGGGGACAGTTCTATTCCATTTTATAGGGTCATCATGAAACAATTTTATAGAAATAGGTTTGTCTTTTCAGGTTTTATGTGAGTTTGGGCAAGTCATTTAATCTCTCTGGATCTTGGTTTCCACATTCATGTGCTGGTAGCCAGATGACCTTAGAGATCTCTTCTGTTCCCAGCATTCTATTTTTCCATGACTAACAAGATTCTTTGCCTGAATCTGGCCCTGCCTATCTAAAGCAAGAGATTAAGCTACTTACTTTAGCTGTTGCAATGCTCAGATAGCAAAGACCTTTGACAGCTGAAAAGGCTGCCTCTCTCCCTCCTCTTGAGCCAAGTTCCAAGGCTGTGGGACAAGGAGCAAGCTAGAATGTTCTTCCAAGCACAGGTCTAGGACAGGGAACAGGAGCTGGGCAGTATTGAGAACAGCCACCTTTGAAATGCTTGCTAGAGCTAGGTGCTTGCAGACATGCCAACATTTGCTTGAAATCCCATCACCTGGGATTTCAGCCTCAAAATAGAGAGGGATGAGATGGATCTCTACTTTCAGAAGAACATTGTCATCTGGACTTCAGTTGAATGAAACTTGTTTTTCTTTCTACATGTCGTTATTGACATTGTTGTTGTTATATACCTTTGAGTTAACTAAGACTCATAATGATCCAGGAACAACGACTCTGAACCTTGTCCTTACTGAGCTAACCTCACCATCTCCAATATACCTGATCCCATTGCCACAGTCACTGTGTCAATCCAACTTGCTGAGGGTTTTCTTCTCTTTTGCTGACTGTCTGCCCTTCCAAGCGTGTGGTCCTTCTCCGAGGATGAACCTGCCCAAAGTATGTGAGACAAAGTTTCGCCATTCTTATTTCCAAGGAGCCTGGTTTCGTTTCCTCTAGGACAGATTTCTTTGTTCTTTTAGCAAACCATGGAATGTTCAGTTCTCTTCTCCAATACCACAATTCAGAGGCATCAATTATACTTCTGTCATCCTTAGTCATTGTCCAGCTTTCAGAAGTATGTAACAAGCAATTGGGAAGACTATGGCTTGTGTCAGGCACACCTTAGTCTTTAGACCGACACCATTGCTCTTTAGCACTCTTGAGAGGTCCTTGACAACAAATTTTTCCAATGCCACCATTTTTTCATTTCCTGATTGCTGGTGCCAAAGGTGTCGATTGTGGATTCAAGTAAGATGATACAGTTAAAAACTTCAGTCCTTTCTCTATCTATCATGACGCTACTATCGAACTGGTGGTGAGAAATTTTGTTTTCTTTATGAGTCAGTAAATTACCATAATTAGGCAAGAGAGAGATGGTTGGATACTGCCAATACTTGTGCCTCTTGGTTAGAAAGTACAGAGGGGTAGATTGAAGTAAATTTAAAAACAAGAAGAAGCAGTTACCTTTGAATTGATTTTGATTCAGAGTAAATTGTATTTTATAAAATTCCCAAGAGCTTTTATAGCCAGGCCCATCTTCAAGTTTTGTCCAA